AGGGAGGGGGAGGGGAGAGGGAGGGGAAAAAATGAGGAGCTGATGCTAGGGGCTTAAGTGGAGAGCAAATGTTTTGAGAATGATGAGAGTAACAAATGTACAAATGTGATTTATTCAATTGATGTATTTATGGATTATGATAAGAATTGTATGAACCCCCAATAAAATGATTAAAACAAACAAACAAAAACCAAAACTAAGGTTAAAACAAAAATTTGGAAGGAATGTTAAACAAAGGAAAGATTTTAAAATACAATGCTTGAAAGTTTTAGATGTAACAGTGAATCTAAATTACCATTGTTTCTCAGGTGTACTGTTAGGTTTCTGGAGTCAGTTTAATACCTTAGTTCTTGGCTTTGCACGATGAAAGAATTCATGTTGAAGGTCGTTTTGTAACCCAAGTGGGTTTTTATGAAGGACAGGACAAGTTTTAAGTTCCACAGTCTCAAAGGGGCTCACAACTGGGCTTGAACAATCATGTGGAAAAGATCACCCACACGTGTGGATATTGTATTTGGGGGTGGGGAGGTGTTGGAGGGGCAGTGGGATCCCAGGAGGCTCGAAAGCCCAAGAACCCTAGAGGCTGAGAGCATGTGGGCCAAGAGGCTGTGGGCCCCAGTAGGCCCAGAGTGGGTGCATATTCTAGCCCGCCCCCTGGCTGGGGGAAGGTGTCGTTGATGTTATTGGTCAACCCTATTGACTGAGTTAGGCCCACCTGGGTGATGTCATGAGCCTGGGCCTAGTTTAGCCTGTCCAGGTGTATCTCCCACCTGGCTCGTGGGCTTGAGTACCAGTACACTCAGTTTGGGGTATTCATGGGTGTATAATGGTTGCCAGATTTTTTTCCCAACCTCCTCTATGGGGGCCTCTGCAGGCATGGGAGGGACAACCCCCTGTCCCTAATCTGGCACCTAACATTACACTGAAAAAATAGTTGATGTCTTATATAGTCACAATCTTTTCTCAGCTTTAGTTCTACTGGCTAAATATAATTAGTCTGATAATTAGCATTTACTTGAACTGATCATCGTTATAAACTAGTCATGATAGAGTTTTAAGTTCACTTTACTTAAACTTCTTTAAAAGATTATGATCTTACTGCTATTTAGCAGAAAGTAAAACCATTCATCCACTACTTGTCTTTTTAAAAAAATCATTTGGGGGGAGCTCTTATAGATATTATAACAATCCATAATTCAATTAGATCAAGCATAATTGTTCAATTGTTGCCATCATCAGTTTCAAAACATTTTCTTTCTTCTTGAACTCTTTGATATCAGCTCCCCTTTATCCCCTCCTCCCACCTACCCCCAAGAACCCATATTATATTATTATATTATTATTTTTGCCATATCTTACACCATCCAATGTATCCATTCACTTACAATTCTGTTATTCATTCCCCTCGAGTGGGGTTATGCAGTCATCATTGCTATCAGCTCCCCCTCCCCCTACTTCCCCGATCTGTCTGTCAATCTTACGTACTGTGGTGCTGTGTGTGTTGCTGGAAGCTATGTCACTGGTATTTCAAATGCCAGCAGAGTAACACAGAGTGAACAGATTTCAGCATAGCTTCCAGAATAAGAACAGACCATGAAAAAGGAAGTGGCTACTCACTTCCGAAGTAGTAGCTGCTGAACACCTTACGCATAGCTTCAAAACAGATTCTGAAGCCTAATGAATGGAAGCAGAACATGGTTGGAGACTGTGCTGGAGGATGGGCCCCTCAGGTCTGAGGGCACTTGACATGTGGCTAAGAAGGAACTGGTTTCTTGAAGCGGAGGAGACCATGACGGTGTGAATTCGGTGAAGCCTGTGGGAGTGGAGCCTTCCGAACTGACATTGTCTGGTGGGGCAGGACTCAAAGTGAAGAGAAACAGCTGCAAAAATCTGCTAATGATCAGGACTTGGAATGTACAAAGAGAATATGGAACAGGTGATATCATTGCTGATGTCAGGTGGATTGTGGCTAAAAGCAGAGAATATCAGAAAGATATTTAATTGTTCTTTGTTCACTATGCCATGGCATTCAACTCCGTGGATCATAACAAACTATGGATAATTTTGAGGAGGAATGAGAATTCCAGAACACTTTATTGAGCTTACATGCAACTTGTACATGGATCAAGAAGCAGTTATGGGAACAGAACAAAGGAATACTGGCAGAGGTTCAGGACAAATCAGGAAATTTGTGCAATCGGTTGTATCATCTCACCATCCTTATTCAATATACATGCTGAGCAAATAATTAGAGAAGCTGGATTATATGAAGAAGACTGCAGCATCAGGATTGGAGGAAGGCTTATTGACAACCTTGGCTATGCAGATGCTTGCTGAAAGTGAGGAAGATTTGAAGCACTTGCTGAGGAAGATGAAGCACTGCAGCCTTCAGTGTGGATTACAACTCAATGTAAAGAAAACCAAGATCCTCACAATTGGACTAATAGGTAACATAAGTGGAGGAAGATCAACGTTGCCAAGGATTTTGTCTTGCTTGCAGCCACAATCATTACTCATGGAAACAAAAATCAAGAAGTCAAAAGATGTGTTGTATTAGGTAAATCTGCTTCACAAGACCTTATTAAACCAAAAAACTAAACTTACTGCCATTGAGTCAATGCTGAGTCATAGCTACCCTCCGTGAGTTTCCAAGACAGCAACTGTTTACCAGAGTACAAAGCCCAGTCTTGCTTCTGCGGTGCTGCTAGTGCTTTGAATTGCTTTCCATGCAGACCCAGTCCAATACATAACCACTGTACCACCAAGACCTCTTTAGAGTATTGAAAATCAAGGATGTTACTTTGAGGACTAAGGTGCTACTGACCCAAGCCATGATATTTTCTGTTGCCTCATATGCATGTGAAAGTTGGACGTTGAATAAGATAGACTGAAGAGTTGATGTATTTGAATTGTGGTGCTAGAGAAGAATATTGAAAGTAGAATGAGAAAAGTGGGAGGTGACTATGACTAGGAGATGTACACTATTGGAGACTACAGCGTCACCTCCCACTTTCCTAGTTCTTCCCGCAACTGTGGAACGTTTACTGCTAATGGTGATTTGTGATAGCTTCTTTTGTTCTCCAAACCCTTTTTAGGTGGTTCCATGAAGGTGAGTCATTGGACCCCATTACGGTCTCATGCTGATGGTCTCCTTCATCTGATTTGTTTTGGTGTTTTTTGGTCTTGGTCTTAAGACTTATTATGGGTCTCTATAAAACATATTTGAATTTGGGACCTCATACCCTAATGGGAGAAAAACCAGGCTCTACTCATCTAAAGAGTTACAGTCTCAGAAACCCACAGGCGCAGCTCCTCCCGGACCTATAGGGTTGCTGAGTCAGAAACAATTCATTGGTGGTGTTTTTTGTTTTTCACTCTAAAACACCTGGTTAACAAGTGGCCACTCCCCTAACCCCTGAATTCTTGACACCTCTGCTCTCATCCAGGGGTACCTAATAGCACCATAAGCTGGCAAGTAGAGGTAAACCTGGCAGGGTGGGTGAGGGAGGGCCAGCATAGAATGAGGTAGATGTTAACACGAGTGGAATGAAGCTTTTGCAAACTAGACCTTTTAAAATCCTTTAATTTTGAACCTTGTGAATACTCACAGCTCACTGCCATCTAGTTCATGCTGACTCATATAGGCCCAATGTAAGTGTAGAACTGGCCCCTGTGAGACTTACATTCTTTAGGGGAGTAGTAAGCCCCATCTCCTAATGAGCGGCTGATGGTTTTGACTCCTAACCTTGCAGTTAACAAGGTCACTCACATAGTACTCCATATACAGGTATGTTACCTATTTAACACATAGGGGCTTGCCTGGGTGTGTCCTGTTAGGGACCTGGAGCAATTACCCTTTCAATGGAAGGAGATCAAACACAAGGCTGCAATTACAGAAGAGGTTTTATTATGCTAGCTTAAGCCAGGGCTGGAGTCCCCAGGTGCTTAACTGCAAGCAGATCACAGTCTTGGACAAGTTCCCCCACAAAAGAAATTCCAAAGTATTTATTTACAGGTATACGTAAAGGGGTGGTTCCAGCCCCACCCCCCCTTCCCATCAATCCACTGATTGGCTCATTTGAAGTAAGTCTGGTCCTTTGTGTAGTTCCCGAGCTGTGCCGCTCCCAGGTTGGCTAGCCTCAGTCTCTGGGTACATCCTACTTTACACTGCTAGGAAACATGAAACCACAGCCTGCCCGAGATCCTGGAGCCAGTCACGGTGTGTGTGTGGGGGGGCAATTTGGCTTTACAGTCCTTGATAGAGGTCAACGTACTGCGGACAGTATAGACACTACAGAAGGTTGTATAGTCATAAATCATGCCCTATGACATAGCCCGTATTCACCACGTGAATAACATTATCCAACAAAGCAAAAAAAAAACAACAACCAAAAACGTACCACTATGCTCTTTTATAAATTTAAACCAATAACCCAAACCCTTTTTTGTTTACCCTAAAATAACAACTCCATAACAAGTATAGATCCCGCCCGTTGCATACATCCTGTGACCTGGGACTTAAATCCAGCAATTTCTCTGAATATAGACCCAGAAGTCAAAGAGGAAGGTCCGTAGCTCATTAGCTCACCCACAAGGGGCCCCTGGTGCTCCAGGACCTCTGTGAGGTCCCCGCCCCTCTCTAACCCTAGGCATAGTGACGTTTCCGGGGAGCCAAGGGGGCGGGCCCCAATCTGGGCTCCCGGGCCAGGGTTTAAGAGGGCGGCGTCGGCAGCGGGAGCGCGCGGCTACGCGGGGGTGGGGCTACGCGCTGACGAAACACGCAGGAGCCGGCGGGCGGGGCGGAGACTCGGCGCTGCTGGAGCGGGGTGCGGGCCCTCATTCCGGGCGGAGCCCGAGTCGGAGGTAGGTGGTTACGGCTTCCCGAGGCATGGCCTGGGCCCGGCGACGCGGGTAGCACGGAGTTTGCTGGCCAGTGGGGCGGGGGCCGAGGAAATGGCGCGAGGCCCCCGCGTCCTCGCCGCCACTGCGGTGACAGGGAGTGGAGTGGGATGAAGCGGAGGTGGGTGCAGAAGGCGGGAGTGGGTTCTGGGGTAGGCGGGTGGAGGGCTGCGGGGGGGCGGGGGGGTCTGGAAGACAGCAGCTGCAGCCAATAAGAGGGCGAGCTTTGTTTGGCGCGTGGCGATTGGTGGATGCGATGCACGCGCGAGACACCGGATTAGCTGCCAGCCGGCTGGGGGCGGGTTCGCCGAGGACGGGCGGATGTGAGGGCATCTACCCCTGTCTCTTAACGGGGTGACCCACAAGGTCAAGGGGAGCGCGTCACGTGGGAAGGGTCGCGCCTGGTGGGCTGACTGACCCTTCTCTCGGACTCTGCGCCGGCCGGTGTCTCGGAGGTGGTCTGGCACCCTCGGGGTCTCCTTGGACGCTGCGGAGATCTCGGAATCCCCTCGGGAGGGTCGAACACTGGTCCTGGGTGCCCAACTTTGCCCTGGGCGGCGGCCCTTCGCTTCCTTCCCGCGGAGGGCGCGGGCCTGCGTGGCCGCCCAGGGCGTGGTGCTGCCGGACGCAGGCCATCAGTCGGCGGTCACTCGCCACCCGCGCGCTGGGACTACACTAGCGCTGGTCGCCAGAAGCCGCAGCCCTGCCTCTCCGTTTGGTCCTCCGGCCCCTTAGTTTTCCAGAGTAGAGAAGTGGAGGCTGCGCGCCTCCCTGGAGTCCCCGTGTTTGCAAGTCTGACCCTCTCTTGTCCTCAGTTCTGCCTTCTCCTTAGCTCTTCAGGTAGGCATGGTTTCTCCGTGCTCCTTGCCCTAGGGGCTTGTAAGCGTGACACGCCCCCTCCCCCCCAAAGTGACCCATTTGAAGCACTCCTTCAAAAGGGAGACTTTTTCATAAAATCGGTGCCACTTTGCGGTGCCCGACCCTCATTTTTTGTCAGACAATATTAGATCGCTACATCTTTTGTGCTATAAATTCTTGGCTGCCCTTGCTGCAGCTTCACTTTGTAGTGACCTTGGATAAGCAGATTCACCTCTGTAGGATTGTGCCTCGACTGTTCACCTTTTTCCTAGAAGGTGGTTTTGTTTTGTCTTGTTTGATGGTAGTGTAGTGTAGCATATCACTATAACATTCCGTTTTGTTTTTCCAAACCATTTTATTACGTCATCCAGTCATACCATACCATAGTTCAGTCATACCAAGCAGTATAGTACAACCACTACTAATGTCAAGTTCAAAACATTTTCTTCTTGAACTCCTTGATAGCAGCTCCTCCCTATCCACCTCTCCCTCCAAGTTTTAGAAAACATTCTTGTCAAAATGAAGATCAATTCTTACAAAATTTTTTTCATGTAATTTTTCCCTCTTCGAAAAAGTACTAGACATACTTGTAAGTTATTACAAACTCCCTCCAGTTACTGTGCAGTCATTTCTGACTCAGTGAAGACCCCACTTCCAGAGTAGTTTTCAGTGGCCGTAATCTTACTGAAAAAGCCCTGGTTATGCATTGGTTAAAGCTCTAGGTTGCTAATTGAACTGCTGTGGTGGAAAAGGATGTAGCATTCTTGCTTCCATAAGGATTTACAGCTGTGAAAACTAATGCGGTTCTCTGCTTGTAGAGTTATATGGGTCAGAATAAACTAGAGGATAGTAGGTTTGTAACCTTATACCATGTAGATAATTAGGTCTGTTTTTTTTCTGCAGCTGGGTGTATTCAAAACTCATCTTTTGGTTCCTAATGGAGCTCAAACTGTTAGCCCACATAGCCTAGGGAAAATTAAGTTATTAATTACATACTGAGATGCAATAGGAAAGTTGTAGGAATACAGACAGGATATTCATGACATTTATAAGCAAACAGTTACTGACCCCATGTATTCCCCACTCTCTTTAAGCCTTTTCCCAGAGCAGAGAGGACAGATGATTCTAGAGCAGCAGTTCTCAACCTGTGGGTCATGACCCCTTTGCGGGTTGAACAACCTTTCATAGGGGTCACCCAATTTACAACAGTAGCAAAATTACAGTTGTGGAATAGCAATGAAAATAATTTTGTGCTTGGGGGTCACTACAACATGAGGAACTGTATTAAAGGGTGGCAGGATTAGGAAGGTTGAGAACCACTGTTCTAGAGCAAAGGTTCCCAAACTTATTTTGCCTACTGCCCCCTTTTCAAACAAACAAAAATAAGTAAGTAAAAATAAGTTACTGTTTCCCCTTCCCCCGCTTGCCAGCAATTACATTATGTTCTGTAGCCCGACATCCAGGATAAAGTGTGGTGATGGTGGTGATAGATGCCATTGAGTCACTTCCGACTCATACAATAGAACAAAACACTGCCCGATCCTGCACCATCCTCACAGGGCTCTGGTTCCGTCAGCCAGTTGTACTGTGGTGGCTGGTGTATTGCTGGGATGCTGGAAGCTATGTCACTGGCATTTCAAACTACCAGCAGGGTCACTGAAAGTGAACAAGTTTCAGCAGTGCTTCCAGACTAAGAGCAGACTACAAAGGAGGAGTAATAATTGCTGCCCACATCTAAGGAATTAGCCGCTGAAAACCTTATGAGAATGTTCCAAGGAGGCTTGGTGTAGTGGTTACTAGTTGGGCTGCTAACTGCAAGGTCAGCAGTTCGAAACCTCCAGGTGCTCCGAGGGAGAAAGATGAGGCTTTCTACTTCCTTAAAGCGTCTACAGCCTCTGAAACCTACTGGAGTAGTTCTACTCTGCCCTATTGGGTCCACATGAGTCAGAATTGCCTTGAAGGCAGTGAGTTTGGGTTGAATAATTCCAGTGCCCCACAGGGGGCAGTATTACTCACTCTGGGAAACACCCCAGATAAAAGATAATAACTGCGGTGGACGTTTCTTTTATTTTTTGAGAGAACTTTCTACATTTTAATTTCTTTAAGGGAGAAAACAACCCAAAAATGGTCTTATTGATATGACTCATGCCAGACATCAACTTATTTAAAGTTTACAATTTAGTAGTTAGTACTATATTCAGAATTAAGGTCCATCTTAATTTACTTTTAAAGACTAAGACTTAAAGACACTAATTCCTATTGGTTTTGTTTAAATTTAAGTGCACAGCTTTTAAACTACCAGCTGTTCACCGTGCTTATTATAGGTATATTGTACAGAGCGCTCTCTGGAGATGTGGATAAGCATTAGGTTTTTAACTGTAGAGTTGCTAATCGAAAGCCCAGAATCTATTTGAAGAGTGTCCACATGGGTTAACCCTCCATAGAATTCCTTCTAATCATTAACCAGGGATGTGCACATTTTTGCCCTTCAGCAGATCATTCCCATCCCTCTGGCCAGCCTTGGGAGGTTCATTCTTCCTTAGGGGCTTGCCTGGGTGAGTTCTTGGTGGAGATCACAATGTGGGGATCCAACGAGTCGTGAGCTGTGCCTTTACTGCCCCGGTCAGAAAGAAGGCCCTGGACCAATCTTGTCAGCTTTTCCGCCTAACATCATGTACTTGTCCCTGTCACAGTCCTGCTCCCACTTCTGTAGTCATGCTTGTAACTGACGTTCTGGTCTGCTGTCAGTCATGTTCTTGTAACGGTTTTCTTTGCTCCCTGATGTCCACCTCACGTTTGAATCTCTGTAAATCCTTCTGGTTCATGTGCTTTTGTCATATATGTGTGTGTGTGTGTGTGTGTGTGTTTACATGCAAAATAGTTTTTATTTTGGATTGAACAAAATTTAAACTCCAAACAAGCACTGCCCATAAGATCCACGGGCATTCTTTTGCAATTAGTGTTGCTGCAGCTAAGTCTGAGTGATCTTAATATTTGTCAGTACGTTTGGACCTTAGAATAATGATGAAGAACAAATGATCCCAGTGAGTTAATACTTGACAGACTTCTGACATCTGAAAACACCTGATAATAAAGCCCCTCTTATGAAAGCACCAGTATCGCTTTCTTTAGACAATTTATTTGTTCGTGTTCTCCACATGAACTTGAGTTCTGTGAGGTTCAAATCAAAGGAAGAGACTCGGTAAAATAAATCGTCACCAGTGAGTAGAAGCTGAAATCCATTCAGACGTTTTCATCAAACACCTGCCACCCCCGCCCCTTCCAGCGACGTTTTTCAGAGTCTACCAGGCTAAGCCTCGCGCTGGTTTCATCGCTTTGGCTGCATTTTTCCCCTTCGTTTTTTCTCACTTTCCCTTTAACTTTTTTCTGTGCTTTGGGTTCATCCATACCGGGTACTGTCCGTGCTGATGTAGAAGGCTTTTTATTCCTCTTAATATTAGTCTCCATTTTCATGTCATGGTCACCTCACACTGCCTTTTCTCTTGGCAATGTCTGCACCACAACAGTTGCTGTCTCTTGAACATCTTTTATTAAAGCATCCGCATCTACTTTGAGAATGCTTTTAAATCTGTTGAGCTTCTTTGGGGCATTCTTTTTTCTCTTTTCAGTGCGCATTTTCCTTTTCCACTTACTCTGTAAGCTTTTAGCCATGTGTGGTAGTTAAATAATCTGCCTGGGAGTTGTTGACAGATTGAAGAAATAAAAGGAACTCTTTGGCTTTTTGAAGTTTGAACTCTAGTGGTTTTTGTCAGAAGCTGGAAAGAACCGGGAACCATGAAGACAACTCATCTCTAGGACTGAACATTAAGAGGACGCTTTGGCACCCTGAAATACTTGCTAGGTGACCACCTGAATCCACTTGTTGAGTGGAAGTGGGAGAAATGCAGCAATAAAAAGATAGGTTGAGTCTGGCCACTGACACCTGTGGACCTGGTTCACAGGGACTAGAGAAGATGAGAGCAGGTTGACTGGTCTGAAGTTCATGATCTAGCCCAAGGGGCGGGGGGCTAGTGTTGAGAATTTGTGATGGTTCCATGGTCTTAGGCAAGGCGACCAATGGACACTCTGGTGAGGCTAAGAGAGGAAGCCCACATTGAGTTGACCAGAACCCAACCAGATGAAGAGAAGATTTTTGAGCCTGTGAACTGGTGCATACACATGAGTGTCTATGAATTTGTTTCTCTAGTCTACCTGGACTAACACACCTTGTTTTTACCTGGGCAGTGTTCTGATCTCATGTGCAGCAAGTAGATCCTGTCCTGTATTTTTTTGGTCCTGGTTTAGATTTAACAAATATTCTCCTTGGATTATATTTGATATTTGGGGTCTGCTTTGTATCCTACAATAGAACCAGAAGGTTGGAGGTTTGAACCCAACCAGTAACTGGGGGAGAAAGACCTGGTGATCTGTGCCTATAAAAATTAAGGGGGAAAAAACCCACCACTCCAAATCACTGCTATCGAGTCATTGCCGACTCAGTGACCTCATAGGACAGGGTAGAACTGCTCCTGTGAGTTTCTGAGACTAAGTGTTTACAGGAGTAGAAAGCCTTATCTTTCTCCTGAGGAGAGCGGCTGGTGGTTTCAAACTGCTGAGGCTGTGGTTAGCAGCCTAGCACGTAACTTCTATGCCACCAGGGCTCCTATAAAAATGACAGCTTATGGGGCAAGTTTATTTTGTCATACGGAGTTGTGATGAGTCGAAATCAACTCATTGGCAGCTGACAACGATAATAGTGTTGCACTTAACAAATCCATTTTTACATAGTGTTCTTGAGTGTGTGCCTTTGGACCGCTTTATTTAGTGGTTGTCTTGGTATTACGTTATGTAAACAGATCTTATCACACACAGTCCACTGGTGTCATCTCACCAGTTTGACAGAAGTATCAAAAACTTACCTCCCTTTGCTTCTTTTCCTTTCCCACATTTAAAACGGTCTTAACTACGCTCTCAACATTTATTTAGAGCTATGTCAGTGTCAGAATTTCTGCTCTGTCAAACAGTTCAGAAGATTCAGAGTAGAAGGGAAGAGTTTTCTGCCCTATGTCTTCTCTTCCTGTGCTTTCCTTCCTGATGATTCAAGATTTCCCTTTCGTCATTTCCTTTCTGTTTAGATGGCTTCCTTGAGCCATTCTTTCGCCAGGTTTGCTGGTAACAAGTTCTCTTCGTTGTCCTCAGTCTGACAGTGTTCGGTTTCCGCTTCATTTCTGAAGGTTATTTCTGCTAGATTGAGGATTCTGATTTAGTCATTTTCGTCCTATTTTTGAAAACTTGTGCCACTTCCTCTTGGCTTTCATGGTTTCTGATGAGGAAAGTGCTGTCATGTGTTCAGGTTCTTGAATCTCTGAACTTACTCCTTCTGGCAAATTGGGAAAACATTTCAGCCATTCTTTTTCTTTTAAACTTTTTGTGATTCCTGGGAAAGTTTACAGAGCAAATTGGTTTTTCATTCAGCCATTCATACCTATTTTGTTTCATGTCATCAATTGCAGTCCCCATAGTGTAACTACACTCATCTTCCTTCCTTCTTGTTCCCATTTCCATTCCTCTTTCTGTCTCTGGGGAGCCCTATAGTATAGTGGTTATGTGGGCTGCTAACCGCAAGGTCAGCAGTTCAAAACCACCAACTGCTACTCAGGAGAAAGATGGGGCTTTCTATTCCAGTATAGAGTTACAGTCTTGAAAATCACTGAGGGAAGTTCCACCCTCCTATAAGGTCGCCATGAGTCTGAATTGACTCAAAGGCAGTGAGTTTTTGAGTCTTTTCTATCTCTACCTGCTTTCTGAGCTTTTGCCTATGAAAGTGCCCGCGTGATCGCAAATAGTTGGTTGGTTGTTTTTTTTTAAAATCATTTTATTAGGGACTCATACAACTCTTATCACAGTCCATACACACATCAATTGTGTAAAGCGCATTTGTACATTCATTGCCCTCATCATTCTCAAAACATTTGCTCTCTAGTTGGTTGTTTTAAGAAGTGCTTACCTCCCTGGTGTTACTGTATATGCCCATTGTTTGATTTGAAGGAGCCCTGGTGGCGTGGTTACGCCCTGGGCTGCTAACCACAAAGCCAGGCGTTCCAAACCACCTGCGTGAGCTTTTCTACTCCTATAAAGAGCTACACAGTCTTAAAACCTACAGGGGCAGTTCTGCCCTGCCCCATAAGATCACCATGATTCAGAATTGACTCGATGGCAGTGAGCCTTTGGTTTTTATTGTTTGACTGAAGCTGAGCTGTCGTGAGTTCAGTTCCAGGCCTCAAGGGTGACTAAGCGCCATACTCTTGGGTGTTTCGACAGTCTCTGCCCAACCAGTGGGCCTGATATTTTTAATGATTTTGAGTACGATGCATTTTTGTCTCTATCCATCTTCAGATGTCTGTAGTGGTAACTGGCACCATCTACGTTCATAGGCTTGTGAAGGCTGAGGTTCACATCGTCCTTTGGAACAGTAGTTTCTGTGTGTCTTCGATTTTCTTCTCTTTGCTTAGGACAGGGGATGGCTACTTTTAAGACTTCAGTTACTACTCAGCAAAGTAGATGTTGTCTTTGTGGACTCTGTTGTGCCTGCTGACCTTGATGTCTGTCCTCTGAGGCTGTGGACTCTTAACAGGGTTTGATTATACCTAAGAAGTGAGCATAACTGCCGACCAGCCATTATGTCACTGAGTGCTTTTCAGCCCGTCTCTCTCTCCCATCTTTCTGTTACACTGATGGCAGGCACACTAGTTTTATTAGACGTTTGGGTTGTAGTTCCAGGTTCCTCTTCCCTATTAAAGCCTCAGATATATCTGGAGAAACCAACCACCTCAAGACACCAGGAGATAGGTAATTTCTGGTGTTTGACCTTCAAGTTCATTCGGTTTCTTTTGCCCCACCATCCTGCCATTTAGCCTAGTCAGTGAAGGTCTCCAGCCCCACCCCCCAGTTCTAAAATTCCTATTTGTTTCTCTGTGCCTTCTATTTCTTTGCTGAGACTTTTATTTTTGATTCATTTCAAGCATGTTCATAATTGTGCCTGGGAACACTGATGTTGGCTGCTTCAGAAGTATTTTTCAGATAATTCTAGTGTATTATCTTGGTCTCGATGTCTGTAGGTTGTCCTTTGTTTACATTGAAAAGCTGGTACTTGATATGGCAAGTAATCTTATATTGCAAGATTGAGACTCTGGACTTATGTAAGTCTTATTTTATAATAGGCTTACTCAGACCTTCACTAGTCAGGAAAGGAGCTGCCGCTGGGTTACCACCAGTTGGCAGTAGATGTCAAGTCTGACTTGACCCCACCTGGCTTCCTTGAGGAGCCCTGGTGATGCAGTGGTAACAAGGTTGGCTGCTAACTGCAAGCTCAGCAGTTTGAAACCACCAGCCCCAGCCAGTCCAAGGAACAAAGAAGAGCTTTTCTACTCCCGGAAAGAGTACAGTCCCAGGAAACGTAACAGGGACCGTTCTGTCTTGTCCTTTAGGGCCGCTGTGAGCCAGCATCCACTTTGTATGGCAGTGAGTTTGTTTTTGTTTTTCGCTTCCTTGATATGTGCTGGGAGGTGCTTGGTGATTATAAGTTTTCAGCTCCCCTTTTGGCTGTCTCTGATAACACCTTGCCTGGGAGGGACATGGAGACGTCGGTACTGCTACGTGGGGAGGCTTAGAAGCCTAGGGCGCCCCATGTAGTAGTCTCCAAGACACTGAGATGAGGGAAAACAGGTGGGTGAGACTGACTCAGTACCTCTTGGCAAATGAAAGTCCCTTCTCCCTACTCTCTATCACCTTGGTGGATTGAGCATCTCCTATAGCCTGATGGGTAGTTGGGGCCACAGTTTTGTTGTTATTGTCTTTGGTGGCAGTAGTACATTTGTTGTCTAAAAGTTGTCTTGCTAGGCTTTCTGTGTGCTGGCTCTTGGATTAGAGAGCTGGCCCCTCGGAAGTCCCTTTCGTGTGTGTGTGTGTGTGTGTGTGTGTGTGTGTGTGTGTGTGTCTCCATGTGTGTCTGTCTCCATGTATGTGTCCCTCCCTCCCTTGGAGCACACTTCCCCTTCCATTCCATCCCATACTTCTGTAACCCTGTCTTTTCTCCCCTGGCTCTTCCATTTATGCTACCTGCCCATCTCCTTTCCTTCACGTCCAAGTCCATGACCCCAAGGCCCCACTCAGAACTAGGGTTTCTCCAGCTTTTCTTGGCTGCTGTGCTTCCCCCAACCTGAAAGGAGTAAGCACTTCACGATCATTTGTGTCCCTCTCCAAGCACTCAGTGCTTTCTCTCTAATACTGTTTGTATGTTTTCTCCTCTGCTCAAAGTGAGATTATTTGGGGGCAAGTGAAATGCTTCCCAGTGTTTCTACCTTCCAGAATACCGTGAGTACAGCAAGGGTGCAGCAGTGTGTGGGTAGATTAAAAACTGTCTTCCTCATTTTGAAATTAATCTTAATTCTTGTTGACTTTTAGAATGGTTTTACAAAATGTATAAAAAATTAACTTGGAGAACTTCATACATTGCTCATTGTAAGTTACTGTATATACTCGTGTATAAGCCGACCCAAATATCAGCCGAGTCACCTAATTTTACCACAAAACTTCTTAAAAATGTGCTTTAAAAAAGCTCAGCTTATACACAAGTATATACGGTATATCTTATCCCTCGAGTTAAAATTTAAACTATCAGGTGCAGACCATAACTTGCCCTGTGTGTTCATCTTCCTTTGGATCTAGTACAGTATAACTACTACAATAGCTCTTGGTTTCGATTTGACTTACTACTTTGTTGTGCTCTTTGTAATGTGAATCATCGATAGAAATAGCATGCTGGTGCAAATACATTAATAGAGCTGAGCTTTCTCCTAAAGAATCAGTTCTGGGAAATCTTTTCAAGTTGCCTTCTCCTAAATTTCTCTTCTCTTATTTTTTACACAGGCACTTGTGATAGGCTTCGGACAAAATGTTTCATTTAAGGACTTGTGCTGCTAAGTTGAGGCCATTGACAGTTTCCCAGACTGTTAAGACATTTTCACAAAACAGACCAGCAACAGCTAGGACATTTCAACAGATCCGATGCTACACTGCACCTGTTGCTGCCGAGCCCTTCTTGAGTGGGACTAGTTCGAACTATGTGGAGGAAATGTACTACGCTTGGTTGGAAAACCCCAAAAGTGTACATAAGGTAAGGCTTGCCAGGCCCTGGGTCCTCATGTTTGCCGTCTTGCTCTGGATGCTTCTTGGCAGCTGAGGTAAGTATGGGAAGTCCGACTGCCAAGTGCCTGCACATCATCCACTGAAGCCCAGCTGTCAGGACCAGCCTCACCAAAACAACATTCTCTGGAGGTGCTGCCCTGGCTTGCTTGATGTCCACCAAGCTCACGGCGTTTGGTCCCTGGGCTAGACAGCATCTTCATCTTCTGAAGGACCGAAGCAACACTTGTTCAAGTTCCGGGATCTCACTCAGGCCTGCTTTAGGATACAGTCTCTGATAAGAAGAAAGCTCTTGGAAAAGGATGGATCTCTGACACTCTTAATGTCCCAGCAGTCCAAACAAGACAGTTTTGTATCTTAAATCGTCTCATGTGATTTCTGTATAAGTGATGTTTTAGATAACCTATGTTCATGCTACTTTCTCCTATATTTTGCAAGCAAATGCCTTGCAGGTTTATATTTAAATTCTTAATTTCTTGTAAGGACTCTTCCCTTTAGGGATCCCTTCTAATGTTTGCTTAATATGAGCGATCATTCCATTTTTTCCACCATTTTTTTTGAAGCCCCCTTGTCTAATAACAGGATTTCTTCATGGGATCTTGGGCTGATGAGTATGTCCTGATTTTCAGGTCAGCCTCTATCCAAAAGTAGGCAGGCAGTATGTTGTGGAAGGAGGGCAGATTTCAGCTCCTTGCCCCCTGGGCTAAAGGGCTGATGGGAGAGTTACGAGAGACACTTGTGCCTTCAAAACCTATTTGGTTTTGTCTAAGGTGCCCAGCCTCTGGCATGGAGGACAGGCTTCACAAATGTCAACTTTTTTTTCCTTAACTAATTTTTGTGTTTTCATTGAAGGTTTAGATACTACTTTTAGAGTTTTATTTGTCAATTTCTACGTAACTTGATTAATGACATTGATTACATTCTTCACAATGTGTGATTATTATTTCTGATCTGGTTTAATACCCTTTAATCTAGTTTCCCTGCCTTTTATATCCTCTTTTTTTAAAAATCCTTTGGGGTCATAGATAATTTAAAATAAAAAACGTTATGGTAGATTGGATGAAAGCTCATCACATCAGTTTTCCATGCAACAGTTCATATACATCGTTTCATGCCATTGATTGCATTTCTCACAGTGTAATTTATCCCACTTCCTCCCTGTGCTGCCTGTGTCCATTCCTCCTCCTCACCCCTTCTTTCCTTCTGAACTTTGTCCTTGGCAAATCTTTTCTCCCGTTCTGTCGAGGAGCTTCTAATTTGATCCTTTTCAGGGAAGTTAGTAGTGATGGCTGGGCACCATCTCATTCTTTTGGTCTCAAGGTTGTGGAGACTGATGTTTGTGTGGTCCGTTAGTCCACGGAACTAATTGCACACATATTTTGATTTTCATCACTCTTCTTGCCTCTCAATGGAGCGAGACTAATAGTTGCACATTCGATGGTTGCTTGTGAGCTTTTAAGATGTTAGTCACGACTCACCCGGAGAACATTGCAAACTGTGTTATACCAAGTACCTTGGTATGCCCCCCCAAGGCTATGTCCGGATCCCCCATTGACTTGTGCCTTCAAAACCTATTTGGTTATGTCTAAGATATTTTCATAACTTTATCCCCTGTGTGTTCGTGTGTGTGTGTTTGTGTGTAGCAAAAGTAAAAACACAATCCTGTCAAATCTATATATACTCATGGGTATACTCCCACTATCCCTCTCGCACCTGTTCAGCCTGCACTTCTGTTTAAGCATCTACCTTTCGATGACCGTTATTGCTGGATTACATATGTGCCAGTTTTTGCTTCTGTTGCCTTTGGCTCTTACAAATCTCCCAATGTCTTCCCCTGTCTCTGTGATTTTGGCCAGTCTTCTTTCCCTCTTTTACTGTACATTGTCTAGTTTGAGCCCATGACATCCCTTTCTACCCTTGCTCATGATG